TTGCAGCTCCCTGATTGGTTACTGCACGAACGTCCCGAGGAAACGTTCTGCAAAATTCATCTCCTGCGTTCCTCCCCTTCGACTTCCCCGCGCAGTCCGTGCGTGCATTCCGAGACGCGCGTCACCATTGACTTTGCATTGAAAGCCGACGCAACGCATGATCCGGTCTGAACGCGGCTTAAGGGTGGTAACTTTTCTGTCTGAAAAATGTAACCAAAAAATAAATATGTGCGAACGAGCTAGTTTGATTATATTACGTACTATATTTTGTGGACTGAGGGTTACCACAGACTTTCAACATGTCCTATAATATGAGTGCTACAACAGAATCAAAGCAGACAACTAAATCTCTGACAAAATCTCTATCTATTATTGGATAAAGTAATTCAGTAGCGGCACATTTCTCCTGACAGTGCCCTCCAGTGTGTTTGAGTGTGTCCAGTAGCCGTGTGCCAGTGAGCTAATGACTGCTAGTGGATGCTACTGTGCCAGCGCCGGGTCAGTAGCCAGGATGCTCATTACTTTGGGATGTTTATACAGGGGAACTGGCTATATCAGCTGTCAAAACACAAAATAAGAAGCACAAATGCCAATATGGAGGCTACTGTCTCTCACGGCCGCCTTTAAATACATCCAGATAATAGTATAGAATTGTACTGTTATTTTAGGGTACACGAGAATGAAATACAGTTCAGCATTTACAAGTGTATTGGTTGGAAAACAAATGCCGCAAAACTATGGGGCTGTAAGTAATGATTGTTTTGGTAATCAATTGGATGTGTGATTATTCTTTTGATTCATCCCGTTAATAGTCGATTATATCCTGAAAGGTCAGTGATTTTTGTACAACAAAGCTCAGGTCATGCCCCTGGAGAACATCTTCATAGAGACGACTTGTTTCACATTGAGTATGATGAAAAAATTCATTTAAAAAATCAGCTGGCAAGAATATGTTCAAGTATGGAAAGGAAAAAAAAAGTATTCTAAGTATTGATTAGTTGCGATTAATCCATTCACTTCTTACAGCCAAAGATATTATTTTTGTCTTTTAATGTTGTTTTATGTCTGTACTTGTCCTGTGCACACTGGGAACTTTTACTAATGTATTCCAATGTAGTGTTACTGCAAATGGCGAATAAAATGAATCTGAATCTGAATCTGGTTATATTGGCAAAGAAAAATAAATCACAAATCACAAATCCTATAAAAGTTATGAACATTTACTCATGGTCTTTATTACTCCAACCACCACTGAATTCCCTTTCAATTATGTTTGGCTCTTTCTTGGAGGAATTTAACAGAGCAGTAGAAACACCACCCCCATGGTTCACAAACAGTTGGACAGATAAAAACAATCACATGCCTGGCTCATATAGACTTTGATAGTGGCACCTGTCAGGAGATATTGACTTCTCCAGTCCTGCACCGACCGACCACTCACAATAGCTCTGTGTGTGAAACCTAATGTAGCGGAGGACTTTGATGCGTGTGTGGAGTAAAAGTCAAAGGAATTGAGTGTGGCGTGGATTTGTATTCTTTCTCTATAAAGGAGAGCTCTGCATGTCATGCGGTGGCGAGGAGTAGACAGTGCCAGTGGGATTTTGATTAAAGTTTCAGGAATAAGGTCAATCAAAAGAAACCTGGAGATATTTTAGTTGAGATTTCAGAGAAGAAGTTGGTTTGACTTGTGTCTGTTTCCAGCGTGCATGTATATTTGTGCTTGAAAGTTCACACACCCAGCCAGATAAGTCATTGTTTTAGCCATATTTTGGAGATTATCAATGTTGACACACTCAACGTTAGTGGTTGAGTGCAGGAGAACATGGACCAGTGGACTCACTCCTTCACTGTATCCAACAGATCAGTGAGTGGATGCAAAACAACTTCCTTCAGCTAAACGCAGACAAAACTGAAATGATTGTCTTTGGTCCCCAGAAACAAAGAGAGAGCGTCATCTGTCATCTACAGTCTCTCTCCCTAAAACCTTCAAACAAGGTCAGAAATCTAGGGGTAATACTGGACTCAGACTTAAATTTTAATAGCCACATCAAATCAGTAACATCAGCAGCTTTTTACCATCTAAAAAACATTGCCCAGGATCAAAAACATAGTGTCTAAAGCAGACTTGGAGATTCTTATCCATGCATTTGTCTCCAGTAGGTTAGACTACTGCAATGGCCTGCTCACAGGTCTGTCCAAACAGGCTGTAAAACAGCTGCAGTACATTCAAAATGCAGCAGCTCGAGTCCTGACTAGAACCAGGAAGTACGACCACATTAGTCCGGTCCTCAGGTCCCTGCACTGGCTTCCTGTGGCTCAGAGAATAGACTTTAAAACAGCTCTGCTTGTGTACAAATCTCTCCATGGCCTCGCACCAAACTATATTAGTGACATGTTAGTCCCATATGAACCAGCCCGGACTCTGAGGAGCACAGGGACTGGACTCCTGTTAGTGCCCAGAGTCAGAACTAAACATGGGGAGGCTGCTTTTCAGATTCATGCTGCTAAAATCTGGAACAATCTTCCTGAAGATGTGAGACAGGCCTCCTCTCTGACAATGTTTAAAACCAAGTTAAAAACGGTGCTGTTTAGCTGTGCATACAACTGAGGGATTTTATATTTTTATCTTTCGTTTTAATGTTCTGTGATTATTTATGATTTTAATGCTATCTTGTTCAGCACTTTGAGTTGCCTTGTGTATGAATTGTGCTATACAAATAAACTTGCCTTGCCTTGCCTTGAGTCAAAACGTCTAACATTGTCAAATTATAACAGCATTGAGCAGATCTGGGGAGATCCCAACTGTGTTTTTTTGCCAAGAAGAATGGGCAGCTTTACCATCCACACCTACACACTACACAGTACCACACTATTGAGAACTTGGGGATGGAAACTTATGAACAGGGCATTTGCAGTGTTTTTGTAAGGCAAGGCAAGGCAAGTTTATTTTTACATACAATCTATACACAAGGCAACAAGATAGAAACAATCACACAAAATAATCACAGTACATTAGAAAGAAAGATGTCATGTCATGTCATTTTCATTCCATTAATTTTTCCATTTCTGGGTTGAGGGGGGGGGCAATCAGAGCTGCCACCCAAATCACATGGCACCAGCCGCTCGTTGTCAGAGACATTGTCAGAAAAAAAAGGCCTGTCTCACATGTAGTCATTCACATCTACCATTTATTGTACTGTAAAATATATTCATTTGACAATAAATAGCTTCCCAGTATTATTCAACATGTGTCCATACCTGCATTCTTGGAATAATAAATAAAAATCAAGTGGGAAAAGCCTTCTATAAAATGTATTAATCCTTACATATTGGAGCTAAATGGCTTTTTGGAGGGGTGTGGTCTGGGTGCTTCTGCTTGTGTATTTTGTGAAGTATCTTTCTATCTACGGCGCGCTCACTGGCCCTGGGTCTGCCGAGAGTTGCGTTCCTGGTGGTTTGGCAGCAAGGTCAGCGCGGATTGAGTGATGCAACACTGCTGATCTGCTTTCCATTTTCCTCTTGGCTACTCAACGCTTTTACACCTCATCCATTCTGACAAGTGGAAAATACTTTGCATCTATGGCTCCACACAAAATCGATGTTTCATGATATAAAATTTAAAGTCAGGCTGGGCGGTGAAAAATAAGCACAATTAACTTTCACACACTGACTGCTCCATATTCAATTGCCATTTTTAGAATTGGTTTGCGTCCGGGGGAAACCTTTGGATCAAATGTGACCGTGTGAAAAGTAAGCCATCTTGGATTGATTTTTGGTGTGATTGGAGCTGAGCCTTGCCTCCCTTGGGCCATGGTTGATGCTACGCCAAAGGGCTTTGACCCAAACCTGCTGCTACTCTAATGTTTTACTTTGATGACCCAAGTTCAATGGATTTTCTCTGGAAATGTGTTGAGAGATGATTTTCTTTCATCGCCGCCCTATCGTTTACTACACCGATCTATACAACAGCTTCATAATAATAGTTTGTCATGAAATGTTGGCCTGTAATAATATATTTACAGTAGCAATCATTAAACACAATACTGAGTGAATCTTGTCACCCTGGATTAAGGCGCACACTTGACATTTACACACTCTGATATTTTACTAGAAACAAATTAAATGCATGTGACTGAATGATGTAGGTTTCTAGTTCAAAGTTCCATTATATACAATTATGGAACTTTTCTAATTATATTGGATTAAATATTACTTAAGTTTCTACAAACAGTTAATTATGGATGCTTACTCACCAGAAACAAAAGAGCCACAGATTGACAATACAATTTATAATCAAATATTTGTTAACGCATGTATGGCTCTTCTAGTGAATGGATCTGCTATTGAACCAAGTCACTCTAAAAAAAAAACTTCACAATTTCTATACAGTTTTAGTCATTTTATTTAAACAAACATTTCTGTCCATGGCACTCGAGGCTTATCGTCATTTCACCTCATTCCAATTTACTACTTTTTTTTGGGCGGCATGGTGGCAGAGTGGATAGCACTCTCGCCTATCAGGTTCAAATCCCGATCGGAGCAGGGCCTTTCTGAGTGGAGTTTGCATGGTCTCCACCGTGTCTGTGTAGGTTTCCTCTGGGCACTCCGGTTTCCCCTACCACTAAAAATATGTCCAATAGTTCCGGCATGCGCCTCCTGTACTGGCGACCCCGCTCCCATCTCTGTGTGGAGTGAGAGACAAATGCCCAAATATTAACAATTGTAAACCGCTTTGAGACTCAGATCTGCAGTGAAAAGACTGTATATAAATAAAGATTACTACTACTACTTTTGAAATGTAGTGTAAACTTTTCCGTGGTCTTGTTGTGAATACCTTTGTGAATATCTCTTTCACAATTTTTGGAAAGGAGCATTTTCTGTCCTTGTGCGTCTTAATGCATTGGAGTTCTAAATACCACAACGTTGGTTTTCTGTGGATGCATTTCTAATTATTTCTGTCCTTGTTCCTCCTGTGCTCCCTGTCCCCGTCCTTCTCACAGACAAGTGTGACGAGCCCCTGGCCTCCCCCCTGTCGCACACAGCCTTCACCAGCTCATCTGTGTTCTCCAATGGATACGCCCCAGGATACGCCAAGCTCAACAGGAGAGGAGGTATTCTCACCACACTTCTGACTAGTAAATGTACATGAGTGCACATATTTATTCAGGATTTTTACCAGTGACACAGCAGAAGGTAAATGCTCTCGCCCTCGTAGACTGACACGCTTCAAAGACTCGCACAGCTGCACTCAAAGTGATTTTTCCCCTTCACTTGCTCAATTCTCCTGGTTTTCTTTCTGTACTGTCATTACCTACATGACTCAGAGGCAGACCGAGACATGCTCACCAATTTACACTTACACGATTAATCACGGTCCATTTACATGTTGGAAGTCTGATTCGTTTTGAAATGGAAAAACCAAAATCAGAAGACGACCAGGAAGAAAATGGCTTGTTTTTCAATTTGAAAGCCAAAATAGAAAAACTGTAAACCCAAAAACATTCTTTTCCCATAGCCTTGTTGAAAAATAAAACTTTGGCGTGTTCTCCAGGCTAACACATGACCCCCGGGGGCAGCCATAAGCAGAGAATGGACGGAGTGAGGCAGCTGTGGCCTATTCACTCCATTCAAACTTATGGACTCTCAGTTATGTCGACCCTCCTTCAGTGTGGTGTGATTTGTAGTTAATTTACAGATAAAAAATAAGTTTCTTTACACTGATTTTGCACTTTTAAAACAAAAGAAATGGCCATTTTATCAGGTTTAAATAAATTAATGAATTAATTATTGAATAAAAACGTTCTTTGAATGACTTGAAATAATCTCTGCATATACTGTATATTCTAACCCCAATTAACCATGAGAGAAAAGAATAATTATATATAAAATGCCAACTATATCAAAAGAGTTATTGCTCACCACACAGCTGTCTCAGTGAAAGCTATCAAAACAAACTAAGCCGTAAACTATTGCCTTTTAAAGTATTGTCGTTTGGTGTGTACCATAGAATAACAAACACTGGCATAGACGTTAGCCTAAATCCATTTGAATACAAAAGCTACAGTCCAACACATAGCTATTGTGAGCCTTGACTCATCACTCAGAGCAGCTGTAAATATAAATTTCACTGTTTCTGAATATAGCTCTGAATATTTTTGTCAAAACCCAGGCGCTAGGCTCTCCTTCCTCCATGCACCGCTTGTCACTCTCGACTTGTAATTAGGAGCCAACACATTCAAGTCAGCCAGGCTTTTCTGTCCCGTATCTGCATTCTGTGATACACTTGACACCTCATAGACAAGAACGACAGGCCAATGGTTAGAGGAACAACATGACGGCGAGTGTTTTAAATGTCACAAAAATAGTTACGCTCGAGATGTAGGCATGGAAATGTTTGTCAGAGCACAAGCAGAGAGGGCGACGATAAGACCCCTGTTTTAATGCCTCGCAGGTAATAACATTGTGTTCAAATACGGGGTTATCATCTGGTGGGCGCATGACAGGTGCGAGCTAAAATTAGATGCAACAAGAAAAAAAGAGTATGTGCTTTTGGTTTTCACACTAAAGAATAGCCAGATTGTATGTACAGGCTCTTATTTTTTAAAATCTGGAAAAAACATAAACTCCTCAGTCTGTTCAAATGATAGCAAATGATAGCCACAATAACCACACACGCACACATACAATAAAACCCCAGTGGCCAAAATGGACCAATCCTGATTATGTAACATCACCGTCGATTTTCCAAGTGACAAACCGGCTTGTATCACTTTGCTTTGACTATTTTAGGGCTATTAATCTTGCAACTATTTTATTAATCAATTAGTTATCGATTAGTTGTTTTGAGCAGAGATATGATAATGATCTCAATTTGACCCTGATAAAGCCAAACTGAACCCACCAGATACATCAAAATAGACAATTACACAACTCTTAATTATGTTTCATGTGAAATATATATATATATATATATATATATATATATATATATATATATATATATAGACATCTGTATAAAAGGCAGTTTTATCAATGATCATTGAAAAAACTTGATACTAGTTGTGATTAATCATTAAAGCTCGAGAAAAAAAATAAAAATAAAATAAATACAAACACCCTTTCATTTTATGCAGGCAAAACATATCACTATGTCCTGATATGGATGAAGGCAACATCGCCATGGAGACGAGCATATGGCATAATTTCATCAAGAAAAGTTACATAAAGCTCTTTTGAAGTAGCAACAATAGCTCTGACTTTGGCTTGAGTTTCACCTCCCCCGCACGGCTTGAGCTTACAGCAGACAAACGTTCTCTTGGAAACACTTGCATTGTCTGAGTATTTGCTTCGTTGTCCTTGAGAAGAGCACCGCACTTCACGCAAAGACAAAATAAAAACAAAAGCAGAGTTGTTAGCCTTCATTCCGATGCACACCAACATAGACGTGTGTTGTGACGAGCCAATCTTCTCCAATCACTCTGTGCTGTATGGAACAACGTAGGCATAAAATCGATGGGACACTCGCTGTTATTGTGGACACTGACAACTATTACACATTTGGGTATCGGTTTGAGGGTCGCCGCGGCTCTCACCGGCACTTTGTTACTATGTAGTGCATAGGTGTCAAACCCCAGGCCCACGGGTCAAATTAATGGGCAACTTTGATGGTGAGGAGAATATGAGCTAGCATTTCTCATTTTAAAGCAAAAATTCTACAGGCAAAGTGGGGTTAAGTGTCTTGCCGAGAGTTTGTTGAAAGCTTCTATAGGTTTGGAGGCTTGAACGTTAAAAAGGCTTCTTCTTGGCTCGCATGCAGACGGGATCAAAACTTTTCAGACCGGTTGGATAATCCCACCAAATTGAGTGCATTTTTTTGAGCGTCCTCTGTACTCTTGTGCTTTTTAAAGACCTTATGACGGTTTAAAAAAAAAAATAGTGGATATCAAATTTGCATGACAATGTCAATTTGAAAGAGATTCCGGCAAAAAAAATCCTATATTTTATAAAAAGAACGTGTTTTTCATGAATTTAAGTTGTCTATGCTCTAACCTGTGTGTGACGTCATAGCGGGTTACGCCCATGCATTGAAAACCATGGATCTATGCCACAGGACTGTCTTTTCTCTCTTCTCTCCACTGATGCCCAACACAATACTGCCCTCTACAGGCGACAATTGCTCACTACACATAAATTGCCATTTTGAGTGTGAAAAAGTGTCCGAGGCGGGATTTGAACCCAAGTCTCTGACTTGTTAGTCCATCAACACAACCACTGGACTATCTCAGTGACAACAAAATTTTACATTCTAGTACTTATCTCAAACTCGCTGTACACGACCTTGTCATCTCGAATATCCGCGAAAAAAGAACGAATACCAAATTGTAAACAACTTACAGCGTTGAAACGTACCCACTCTGACGTCACCAAGGGCTGTGAAGTTTTTTCGTTTCTAAGGGCGTTGCTATGGGGTTATTTCGATTTGGGGGGATCAGACAAAAAAAACAACAACTGATTTTGAAACCTTTAGTAGTTTTCTTCTAATATAAAATGGTATTAAAACTGTATTTCTAAATAAATCAAACCCGTCATAAGGTCTTTAAATGCACTTGATAAGGAACCGAAGGATTGTGAGGGAAGGTTGAATGCCTTGAAGTAATATACATATAGACTTAGAATTGAGTCTGCAATCACCAAGCTTGATACACAAACAAAAATTGAAATATGAGGTAATAAATGCTTGAATTGAATGGTTTTTATCTTAATTTGAGTACATTCTGACTCTCTTAAAACAAGATTTGCGAATGGAAAAACCCTTTAGTAATTTTCTGTAAATGTTGCTTTATTTTCTCGTTTTTGGGGAGACATTTGAACATGATCCTTTTGCTTGTTCCTTTGGCAAGTCTGTTATACTTGACTGGAACCCATATACACTATGTACTGTATGTCCATCAAACAAAAGTACAGTTTGCATATCTCTAACACTACTAAACTATATGTGTTAGCTGTGGTGAGTCTGACTGTGAAAAAAAACGCTTTCTCCCAGTTCAAGCGAAGGGTACTTTCACACGTCTCTCTATGTCCAAAGGCTACGACCACTGCTTTAATTTTTAATCAAAGACAGTAACTTGCACAGGGTATTGGAGCGCACATCACAGCCCTGTTTGTAGTCCATACAGTGATTAAAACAGCGCTCAAAAGATCGGGAGGTCGATTGTAACAAATGGATGGAGCTATACTGAAAACTGTCCATAAATGATCAGTGATGCTATGAAATACAGGAGATAGATTTATTATAACAAACTTGTTCTTTTACAGTGGTTATTGTCAGGTATTTGGAGATTGGTTGAAGCAAATTACAATTTCAATTAAATTAAATCACAGGCATCTACATGACTTTAAGTAGTAGTAATCTTTATTTATATACCGCCTTTTCACTGCACATCTGAGTCTCAAAGCGGTTTACAATTTTTATTTTTAGGGCATTTGTCTCTCACTCCACACAGAGATGGGAGCGGGGTCACCAGTACAGGAGGCGCATGCCAGACCTATTGTACATATTTTTAGTGGTAGGGGAAACCGGAGTACCCGGAGGAAACCTACGCAGACACGGGGAGAACATGCAAACTCCACTCAGAAAGGCCCTGGTCCGACCGGGATTCGAACCCAGGACCTTCTTGCTGAGAGGCGAGAGTGCTATCCACTCAGCCACCGTGCCGCCTAATTAATAGCACAGTAGCCCCATACATGCCTTCTGGAGTTACCTTCTTAGAAATATTGTGGGTCTCCTCGTTCATGTTCAAAGTTTTTTTAAAGTAAGAGTATTCAACATAATCAAAGTGACTGTTGGAACAGAAAAAACTATCCATCTTAATCAATTTGACTTGTCTGGCAGTGAAAAGTGCTCCAATTTCTAATAAAATGTACACACACATAATTCAAAGTGAATAAAAGTACCCTTGAATGAAAATAAAAACTATAAAATGTCAATATACAGTATAAGTAAACAACATAATAATAGATACAGTGACATGAAAAGACAACCGAGGACCACGTAGCTAAAGCTGTTTTCAAAGCCAAAGTATAAAAGAGGCTAATGCTAGTGATGCAGAGC